CCTGACTGTCCTGGAACTAGCTTTGTAGACCAGACTGGTCTCAAACTCACTGAGATCTGCCTGCCTCTGCCACTCAAGTGCTGGGATTAAAGGCGTGCACCCCCCACTATTTTTTTTTTAAATATAGAGTTCTATATATTCTAGCCCTGCCTCTAATTCATAATGTAGTTCAGGATGACCTTGAATTTCTGATTTCTGATCTTCCATTTCCTGATTGATGGGATTACAGTCACGTAGGAGGTACCACACCCAGAATATATGGTGCTAGAGATTGAACCCAGGCCTTTTCCCTTTTTCTGAGACAAGGTTTCTCCTCCTAGCTTTGGAGCCTGTTCTGGAACTTGCTCTGCAGACCAGGCTGGCCTTGAACTCACAGAGATCCGCCTGCCTCTGCCTCCTGAGTGCTGGGAAAACCCAGGGCTTTTGCATGCTAAGAAAGCATACTACTGACTGAGCCAAGCCTCAGACGATGGCCACAGGTATTATTATTCTTGTTGTTGTGGATTTTCAAGACAGGGTCTCTCTGTGTAGCTCTGGCTGTCCTGGAACTCACTTTGTAGACTGGGCTGTCCTTGAACTCAAAAATCTGCCTTCCTCTGCCTCCCAAATGCTAGAATGAAAGGCCTGCGCCTACACCTTTGCTGGCCATAATTTTAATGATTCATTTTCTTCAAATGAATTTTGTTTCATCAGTGCTTAGAACACAGCAGAGCGGGTTGTAGACCTCAGGAAACTACTTACTGAGGTCATGGCTGCCTGTGCTGTGGCTGAATGGAGAGATGGAAGGGAGCTTGCACTTGTTTTTAATCAAATCCTTCGAGCTCCCAGAGACCTTGAGGAACCGCGTTCATTTCAGATGGCTTTTGTGGCACACTTACTTTGTTTTGGTTGAGGGATGATACTGAGGATTGAGCCTAGGTCCTTGGGCCTGCTAAGTAAGCGCTGTAGCACTTGGCTGTTCCCCTAACACTTCTCTTACTTTGTCAAGGATTTATTTTTATTTCATGTGTTTGGGTTGTTTTGCCTGCTTAGTGTGGCTATGTATCAGGTGCAGTACCCACGAAGGCCAGAAGAGGGGATAAGATCCCTTGGAACTGTAGTCATAGAATGTTGTGAGAATGTGTGGGTCCTGGAAAGGGAACTAGGTCCTCTGCAAGAGCAGCAAGTGCTTTTAACTGCTGAGCCGTCTCTCCAGTCCTACTACTTGTATGTATGTATGTATGTATGTATGTATGTATTTATTTATTATTTTGAGGCATGGCCTCACTAAGTTATTCAGGGTGGACTTGAACTCCATCTGTGGCCTAGGTAGACTGGACCTTACTCTCTTCCTCCCTGAGTCTATTGGGTAGATAGAATTGTAAATGCACACCATGAGACCTGACTCACACTCTTTCATAGGGATCCTTTGGCTGTTTGGGGTACCCATGTCTCCTCTCAGGTGTGTTGTAAAGGTCACACCTCCTCATGTCTCCACGCTTTGCCTTTGTCTGCAGATGGCCTCAGAATTTAGGAGTAAACAGAAATGGGTACCGTGCGGTTTCGGTTCTTGGTCACCTGATGTACACTTGAGCTGTGTGGGGAGGTTTGCTCACAGACGTCAATACCGAGCTAGAGAAAGCTATGCAGGAGGAAGTTATTGAGACTGAGGATGGGCCCTACCTTCCTTCCCCATGTATAAAGGCTATATGATAAAACACAACCCGGGCCACAGGTGTTATGTGAAATTTCCTAGTAGCCACATTTTAAAAAGGTAAAAAGAAATATATGAAATTAGTTTCACCGACGTTTATTTAATTTAGGAAACCCCAAGTATAATGTCAACATGTGATCAATATAAAATAATTCAGTTATTGGGAGGGAGGAAGTTTAATAATAATAAGTTAAGGTTAAGGTTGGGCATAATGCACACCTTTAATTTCAGCACTCATGAGGCTGCCAGGGCTACCTCATGAAACCCTATTTTAAAAAAACAGGACATATTAATATAGATATGAGGGTTGAGGGAGAGAGACATTCAAAAAAAAAAAGGGTGCTTTTGAGCTAGGGTGTGGCCTAAGAGAGCCAACTCAGATGTAAACTCAATTTACATCTTTTTACATGAGGGGGGCTAAGTCTATGAAATTGTATATTTGGCACATCTCAGAATTACCATGTATCAAATGCTCAGTAGTCTCCTGGGCTCTGGACAACCATGTCAGACAGTGAAGCTCATAGCTACCGGGGTGTGATAGAGACACGGTCACTCCGGTTTGCTTCTCCATTCCAAATAGCCTGCCTAGTCACCCAGACCAAGTGGAAAAGATGGAGTTTGTATTGACATGAGACCAACAGAGCTTTAGAAATGGGATTTTGCTCCCTCTTCCTTAACCCCTTCCCTTTATCACTCTCTCTCCTTTTCCTTTCTTCCTTGTGCTATCAGGAATTGAACCCAGAGTCAGATATATATTTGGCTGGCACTGAGCTAACTCTTGACATGTAATTAAAAAATGTTTAGATTTATTTAATTTTCTGTGTGTTTTGCTTACAGATGTGTTTGTGCACCACGTGTGTGTCTTGTGCCCAGATTGTTCATGAGAGGGCATCAGATCCCCCTGGAGCTGTTGTTAGGTGGTTGTAGGTCACCATGCATGTGCTGGGAGTTGCCCCCAGTCCTCATCAGGAGCAGCACATGCTGTTACCCACTAAACCATCTCTCTAGCCCCTGAAATGTAATTTAAAAAAAAGTGTTTCGCCATCACTATCAGTGAGAAGGGTTTTAAATCTATAGAGTTATGTAGATCCTGGAAACACTGCTACCAATGCTGTTCATTTGCTCTAACCAATGGGTTTCAGAAGTGGAGCGTTTCTGCTCCATTCTGTTGCCGTCTTGTTGAGATTCCCTATACTCTTTATGTCACCAGCTGGCAAATGGTGGGCAGCGGATGGATTTCAGAGCCTATGTTACTATTGCTCAGCATTGCTAAATACTAGACTTTAATTCTGGCCAAGAGTCCTGTCTCTAAGCATGTTTACTCTAAGTCCCTTGCTTTGGAAGATTCCGGTCCAAAGTTGTGTCCTTTTGATCTATGATACAAAAACCAAAGTTAATAATACCTCTTTTATTTCTCAGCAGTGATAAAAAGTGATTATAGCCAGGTGGTGGTGGTGGCGGTGCACGCTTTTAATGCCAGCACTCGGGAGGCAGAGGCAGGAGGATCTCTGAGTTTGAGGCCAGCCTGGTCTACAGATCTAGTTCCAGGACAACCAGTGCTCACAGAGAAACCCTATCTCTAGACAAACAAACAAAAACACAAACAAACAAACAAACAAACAAAAAAACAAAATCCAAACCAAATAAAAAACTCAAACAGACATAAAAGGAGACTATAAAGTCAGACTTTATTGACAGTTAAAAATGACATTCCATCAAGTACAAAAAACAAGGCAATACTATTCTTTTGGGGGGGGGGAGGGCGTTGGGACTGGATTTCCATATTTAGTCCAGGCTGGCTTTGTTGTTTAAGGAAGAGCCACTATACCTGTTCTCTCTACTTAGTTCATCAAAGCCAGCTTTCAAGACGTGAGAGACCCTGTCAGGAGAGAAAGGGGTGGAGGGGTGGAGGTGGAGGGAGGACACCACCCTACTAGGCAAACAAAGAGTTAAATATTTCCAGTCTGCACACACGCACTCACTCAGCTTTGCTAGACTTATCTGTAGCTCTAATAGTGAATGGAGTTGGAATGAAAGCTCTAGCCTACTTTGTGATTGTATTTTACTTTATTCATTGAGAGTAGTAAAAGGAAGGAGCAGGTGGAATTATGAATTGGCAATCCAGCTTCTCTCGTTTTATTTTTTTCCCGCTTTCACCCCCCCCCCCAAACACCCCATCTATTTGGCCTGATTAAACAGCTATGAGTCCGTAGCCAGGCTTCTATATGCTATGATGCCTCTGCTCTCTAGGTGATTTTGCCCACTCTGAGCTTCCTGTGCTCCGTGGAAGCCCGAGTTCGCAGAAGTCTCTCAGTTTCTTCAAGGGTTCGCCAGATACTGAGCAGCCGCCAACTCTGGAAGCCTCACGGCGCAATGTTCACTCGCGAATTCTTTTCACCTCCCATCTCAGTCCAGAAAGGTGACGCCCGAATCCGCAGCGCTGTTCCCCGAGGGAACTCCAGCAACACCCACCTCAGGCTCTAACAATTTCGCTTCCGTGGCAGCGTTTCCTAAAGTTGCCTTAAATCTTCCCTACCCTTTTGCCAACAGAGCTCCAGGTCTCGCTTTGCTCTCCAGCTGGCCCGGGTCAGATCATTGTGAATCGAGAACGGTGGTCGTAGGGGACCCCGCAGAATTACGTAACAAAAACCGTGGCAGCGAGAGAGGGCGAGACTGACACTGAGACATTCCAGGGGGAAGGAGGTTGGTGTTCTGGACTCGCCAGTTCTCAGAAACCGACCGAGGAAGGTGGCTCAGATAAAGAAAAAAATTCGGGAACAAGAATATTAAACAGTCTCAGAACCTACAGCACTATTAGTAAACAGTGGATCACGAGTAATAATTTCTTGCAGGAAACTGCAGCCTTCCAACTTTTGCATTGAAACTCGGTGGTGTACCCGGAGCAGGGGTGGTGGTGGGGTCTGTGTGTGTTAAAGACCGTGATATATAAAGCCCAAAGCTAATGAATGGGACTTAATGGTTTTGTTGGCACTATGTAAATATTCCTGCCTAGGAGCACAAACTCTCTGCAGTTATTTAGTAAAGTAGGAACTCAAACTAAGAGAGAATGCTCTCCCATGTGTCTCCACTAGCCCCAATCAGAAAAGGCGCTACTAGCACTGTACTGCCCCTTTAAGACCTGCTCGCTCTCGGTCTCTACAAAAGGGAGTGACCTCTGGGCTTTGACAGCTCCCCTAATAACTACCACCACGCAGGCTCCGCCTACCTGGCGACCAGCCGCGCCGATTGGCCTGCAGGCCGGTATCCCGTGCTCTGATTGGCCTGCCGCTTCCCCTGAGCGAACCTTTAGAACTCTGAGACAGACAATATTCTGTTACATTGTAGCAAAATGGCGACTGTCATTCACAACCCCCTGAAAGCGTAAGTAAGACTAAAAAAATGTACATATTCCGCGTGGTTTCAATATGAAAAAAAGGCGCCTTGCGGAGCGCAGCCGGTGCCCGGCTCTTGCAGACGCCTCCCGCTGCGCCCGTGCTCCTCTTTTCTTTTGCTTCTACTTCTTCATCTTTTTTTTTTCTCTCCCAGCGCGCAGAAATGTCAGGAGATGCAATTAACAAAAAGAAAATTGTTACATTTGTGTTCTGCTTAATTGGCTGACCCGGGCCGGGAAGGAGCCCGGAGCCGCGGCGCCTGCTCCGGAGCTGCGGGGGTCGCGAGCAGCTCGGGGCTTGCACGGTCCCCGGAATCCTCTGCCTCTCCCGGCGCCGCGCGGAGCTGGCTGAGCCCGATCGGAGCGCGGGGCAGGGGCCGCGTCGTGCGCTCTGCTGAGCTCTGCGCTCCAAGCCCGAGGTTTCCCGGCTCCGCTGCTCGTCCGACCGGGCAGTCTGACCGACCGCTGCGGCTGCGGAGTTTGCTGGGCGTTCGCTCTGCCTTTCGAGCTCTCTCAGGGAGTTTGTGCAAACCTTCCGGAGTTGGGAGGACAGCGCGCGAAGCGGCGGGTCTCGGGAGTCCTGGGGCCCAGGTGCTTGCCTGGGGCTTTTCCACTCGGGCAGTCGGGGGATCAGGGAGGCCCTCCGGGCGGTCGCCGGTGTGTCTGCATATTTGTGGGCGAACTGGTTGTAGTAAATTAACGACCTGGATTAACTTGGGGGTTGATATGGAGGAGGCAGGGAAGCTGCAGGTCTTATGAATGGTGTGCTTGCCTACTCTGGGTGAAAAGCCTAGGCGGGCGGAGGCGGTTCGGGGCTCTGGCGACCGCGAGGGGCAGGTGCCTCCGGGAGACTTTGAGCCGGCAGAGGGGGGCGGGCTGCGCGAGGACTAGCGGGGGCCGGTCCCCGGTCAGAGCTGCCTGTCTGCCTGCCTTCCTTCCTTCCTTCCTTCCTTCCTTCCTTCCTTCCTTCCTTCCTTCCTTCCTTCCTTCCTTTCTTCCAGTCGGTGTACTGTGAATGTGAAGCCGCCAAGTCCGCGGAGCCGGGGGTGGCCTCGGAAAACTAGTGTGGCTCTCAAGGGGCGCTATTGGCAGGGATGTTGGCAGAGGGTGGATCCCTGGGAATCGCTGCGCAGCGTGGGCTCCGGGTAGGTGCCGAATGTACTAGGACTTCCCCGCCCGGGTGAAAGCCTCTGGGAGTAGAAGGGTGCGCGTGGGTGTTTCGTGCCAATTCTTCCCAGTGTGTGGCGGTGGTCCACCCTGGCTGTTATAACTGCTTGCAACAGCGCTCTAACCCCTGGCTTCTGGAGTCAAAAACAGGGTTCGCTTTGGAGAGCAGCAGGGCGGCGCGCGCGCGCGGGGGGGGGGGTTCCTAGTGCCAAGAAACGCCTAGGGAGAACCCGCTGCATTTGCACCCAGCAACCAGGAATAGGGCAGGGATGTCCCAGATCTCGGAGTTTCCACGAGATATTGTCATAAAGAAGACATTGGAGGCTGAGCTTGAGGCGAGTTTCTGGCTCCAGTTCTCGCTCGGAAGCTCAGCTACTTTGTACTCGCGACAGCATTTCACCTAAGAGAGAAAATGTTTTATGGCAGAATAAATGGGCGTAACTTCGCCGCGTCCTCGCCGACTCGCGCCGCCACACCGCTGATGCCGGGAGTTTCTCCAGAACCCACACAGCTGATTTGCAATTTCCTCATTTCCAGCCGAAATCACGTAGCCGAGCTGATGCCTCTTGGTAAACTCAAGTCTGAGAGATCTATTTGCTATGTGTATGGCGTTCCTTATTGGGAAAGTGGTATCCTTGATGCCCGGGAGCGGGCTTATGCTCGGGCGCGCGCAGGAGCTCCACGCACCAGGGGTTCCCAGAACTGTCCACTTTTTTTTTTTTTTTTGACTCAGACGCGTGAGTGTGTAGGGGTAGTGGGGGAAGGGACAGAGAAGCAAGAGGGTGGCCAATCTCGATAGTGGAATTAGTTTTGAATTACACGTGTACTCCTTAATAATTGGAAATACTTGCCGTGGGATGCATTTGTAACTCCGTCTTGTCACACACACACACACACACACACACACACACACACACACACACACACACACACACGGAAGCCCACACACAACACCCCTGCCTGCCTTTCCAAGGAGGGAGTCGAGCGGTCACTTAATAATTAGCGGCCCCCTTTTGCATCCCATCTTCTTCCCCCAGGGCTAAGGGTGTAAACAATAATCTCAACGGCCAAGCTTTTTGCAGCCTGGACATTTTACAAACTCCGCACACAGGAGCACACGCGTCGTTACTGAGACACCGACACCATTTGCTTTTATTATTATTTAAAAAAACAACTTGTTTAATAAAACATCTTATATATTTCATTTGTTTTTTGAAGTTGCTGATCAGGAAACAAAACACACGTGAATAAATTATGCATGGGCTAAATTAGAACAAAGCGCAGCGACACATCAAGCCGGAGGGATTGATGGGGGCGCAGGGAGGAGGAGGAGCAAGGAGAATGGTTTGGAGGGCTTATGTGTTTATCCTTGTGTGCCCCTCCTGACAATGAACCGGAGCTCCAAGCCGCATTAGCATTTTCTCCGTGTGCGTGCAGGCTCTCTCGTCTTAAAAAGGCAACATCACGGACGCCCCCTACAGAAACTGGCCACACAAAGATTTCCGCTTGGACAGCCGGATAAGTAGCAGTAGTTACGGTGTGGGGATGAAGCCAGCTCAGGTTTCTTTCATGCAACCTTGTGCAAGGCTCTGCCTTCTTAGACTGTGGGTTACTTTTCATTATGCTAGCTTTTTTTTTTCTTTCCGTGTGGGGCATTCAATAATTCAATTCACTGGGTGACGGGATGGCTAACTTGAATCTCTTTGCTTTCCGTGTGGTGGGGGTGGGAGTGTCTTCTGTAGGGTCCCAGGCGCCTGAAAACAGCCTTTCTTGGTAGCTTGCCTTTCTTCTTGGCTGTCTTTGATCTCCCCTCAGCTCCCCTTTTCCTCCTTGTTGCTTTCACCCTTTCCTCTCTGAAGCTGACAGTCTGGCTTCTCCGTTGTCGCCTTTAACTTCTTGTTACTGCCCAACAGGGTGTTAGGGTAAGAAACAGGAGCTGCCTGGACAGATTAGATCAGAAAGAGGACTCAGCAGGTGGCCCTACACCGAAGCAGTCACATCTGGACAAGTAGAATTCAAAAGCACGGATGGGCATGTATGGTGTGTAAATGTGAGTTGCATGCTATTTAAGTTAGCAGCTACATTGTCTGAGTGTAGATTGTTGGGGTCATCCTCAATTTCTGTATACACAAGGAAGGGTCACATACAGGTTTGATAAAGGCATGTGTGCAAGTTACATACTTGTTGATTTCTGTATACTTAGGAAATAAAATATTTAAATTAAAAAAAAAAGATACTTATTTTAGCTGGGCAGGGTGGCACATGCCTTTAATTCCAGCACTTGGAAGACAGAGGCAGGCGGGTCTCTGTGAGATTGTGTCCAGCCAAGGCTACATAGTGAGTTCCAGGACAGTCAGAACTACATAGAGAGACCCTGTAAGAAAAAATTACTATTTTTATGTGTGTGTATCTTGATCGGGTGAGGTGCTGGTACAAGTGTGTGTGTGTGTGTGTGTGTGTGTGTGTGTGGGGTCAGAGGACAACTTTTGGAATTGATCTCTTCTTCCACTATGTGAGTTCTGGGGATTGAACTCCACTCAGGCTGGGAAGCAAGCATGATCACTTCACTTGCTGAGTTATCTCTCCTGCCCTAGAATGCTTTTCTTGTAAGTTCTAATCTTAATATTCTAGTTTAGGGAAATCACCTTCCCCCGTGTCTGCCAACAGCACTTTAAACAGCCCATTCTCTCAGTGACTTCTTGAAACTCTGGCTGTAGCACTTAACTGGGAATGCCTGCCACCTTCTGCCAGACTTGATCATGTACATACATATGTATCTATTTTTATAACTCCAAACTCAGAGAGAAATAAATGCTATCATTACTTAATTACTCTAGTTAAGGCCTTAATACTTTAACTGTTTGATTATAAACAACGAGAAAAGTAAACTATTTAGTCATGCTTATCATTACGACTACACGTGCACAGTATAGTCGTATACTATATACGTATATACGTATAAAGTGCAAAACTTTACTGTGTAAAGAGTTACCCTAACTTGGAGGTCAGTGTTGATCTCTTTGTTTTATTATTAAGCATATAACTCGGGGAGAAGTAATCAAGATCCAACGCTGTTCATGTGTGCGGATGGATCTTAAGTCTTCATCCTCCTGTCTGTTCTCTGATGTGGATAATGTGTGTTCTAATCTAAAGAGGTTTGGGGGCATGTGAAAGGCAGAAGCAGACCTTACTCTTGCTGTGGCAGCCAGTTTAGCTATCAGAGAGGAAGGGCCAGGGGCCCACACTCCTGGTCCTAATCTTGTCTTGGCTATTTTCGTTGGGGAGGGGGTGGTGAGTAGGCCTAAATGGAGAGCTGTGGGGTTGGGGTTGTGAACTGGCAACCTTCTATGGACATTATGTGAGTCCCTTATGGGAAAGGGAACCCTTGACGCCAACAGAGGCTTGAGCGCTACTCTCTCCCTTTGCTTTTACTCATCAGTGTAAAAATAAGAAGGGATGTGGGGGCAGAGATGGCTCACCAGGCAGAAGCCCTTGCTGCTCTTCCAGAGGACCCAAGTTCGGTTCCTAGCACCCACATATAGTGTCTCAAACTGCCTATAATACAAGCTCATGGGATTATTTGTCACCCTTTTCTAGACTCTGCAGGAACACACACACACACACACACACACACACACACAAAATAAATCTTTAAAACAAAAGCTCTAAAGCCTCCAAACTTCATTAGCACACATTCCCCCCCCCCAATGGGATGTTTGTACCCACAAAGGACATCAGTATCTGTCAGAATTCAAGTGAAGACATCGTCACAGGGTAAACCTTTGAAAACAGTGCAGCCTGCAGACCTCCTGGGGAGTATCTG